CTGAACAGCCCTGTTGGCAGTGTGGTGTAATGTGGGGTTTTATGTTGGCAATACTTAGTGTCTGTGTTAGCAAGTGTCCGAGGAGCTGTGGCTGGTTGTTTTCATTCATCACACCAATTTACTCAGCGCCAATATTATCTCATAACTTGGCCTCGGTTTTTGGAGGTTTCACATTGTTACGTTACTCAGGATGTGCAGCTGAAAAAGATACACTGAGATGGTGACTGCCTGAATGAGGACAATTTGTTTCGTATTTACCATTGGCTTTTTTATAGCTCTGGATCAAGAAAATGTTTCATGAGAGGTTAAAATTGTGCAGATACTCATGTCAAATGGGCAAAGCTTCCCTGGAAAGGCAATATAGCATTGCTACACCATGTTAGAATTCATAACGATGAGCTATTTTTTACTGCAATTGCCAATTGATCACTTAAGGAAATCAGAGTGATGAAGAATTCTCTTTATTTGATTTGAAAATTCATCTTTGCAGTTTTTGAAAGAACAAACACACCAAAAAACCCATCAGCCACTGTGTGCTGCTTGAAAAGATTTGTCCTTAGGGAAGATTTATTTTTCCTTCCCCCACCTGAGATGGAGAAGAATGTCTTTAAATGTCAGTGAAAATATTGCATACAGAGATAAAACTAATTTTTGTGATGACTTCAAAATTGACTAAAAAGAGAGGAAAGTCTACCTGTGATGCTTTTAACACCTGAACATGTTTGTGTTTAAAGGGACTGTCGGCTACTACTGCAAGCACAATATAACTTGCCAGGGGAAAGTGCCCTTCACTGACTTTTTACAAGGGCCTGTAGTGACAGGACAAGGGGTAACGGGTTTAAAATGAAAGTGGGGAGGTTTAGATTGGATATCAGGAAGAAGTTCTTCCCGGAGAGGGTGGTGAGGCACTGGAATAGGTTGCCCAGAGAAGCTGTGGATGCCCCATCCCTGGAAGTGTTCAAGGCCAGGCTGGATGAGGCTTGGAGCAACCTGGTCTAGTGGAAGGTGTCCCTGCCCATGGCAGGGGGGTTGGAACTGGATGGTTTTTCCAGATGGGGCCCTTCCAACCCAAACCACTCTGTGATTCTATGATTCTATGACTCCCAGGAACAGAGGGCAAAGCAACAGGTCATCAAGTGTTGAGTCTTCATTCACTGATACATTAACACTGATAAATGCACATGTTAATCAGATAAATCACATTGGATGGGGTGGTGGCTCCAGGATCAAGGAAACCCAATTCAAACCAGTGGAATAAGTTTCGGAAAGGGTATGTTTTCTGTAGTTTACTGGACATGATTAATTCAAACAGAATTTATGCACCAGTTCTAACAGGCTTGTGATATGCAATAATGGTGTAATCTTTCAAGACTATAGTTACTCTTCCTCATCATGCTATGAAGTTTCTAAATTATCCTTCTACAGTGGAAATTATAGTTTCCTTTTTTTTCATGCTGACATTGCTACTCCTATGGTCAATCTAGGATATGAAATCAGCAGCATGAGGGTCGGAACATGACTCAGCATACTTTACACACTGCTCTGATTTATTGCTTCCTTCATTTCATTTGGTTTATAGGGGAGATTTCATCAGCTGTTTCCAAAATGCAAGTTGAGTGGACGTTACAGGATTTTCCCTCATTAATTTGTCTACTTGCTGCCTGAAACCCTGGAAGTATTTAATATCCACAAATAGATGTAACAAAGAATCCCACAGTCTAACTATTTGTGGTAAGAAGAACACATTCATTAGTTTCTGCTGAGCCTGCCACCTGCTAGCTTCATTTTTTGCCCTATTTTTCTTTTAGAGTGGACTCAGTGATCATTCCTTGTTCTTGTTCAGCATGCCATTTACAGCATTACAAAATTTTGTCATGTTCACTCTGTCTTCTCTTTTCCAGGCTAAAAAGACCTATTTTGCTTACTTGTTTCTCACCCTGTAACTCTTATGCTCTGTGTTGTTTTTCCTCTGAACTTTATCTTGTCCTGCTGTACAGATGTCCTTCCTCCTCCTCTCCTCCCCTAGTTAGCCAGATCACCTCCCATGTCCTTTGAAACTTGGATACTTCAAAACTATTAGCGTGGTTCAGCTTGTGCCATTTCTCATTTTTAATATGATGCCTGCCTGATGATAAAAGGGCCATCAATAGTGCCTCTGCTGAAATCCACTCACATCTGGACCATCTACAGTGCAATTACACTGCCATGCAAGCAACCATAGCAACGTGTGGTTTTGAAATGAGGTATCATCATTTCATGACAAGATCAGTATTTTACATGACATTATTATTTATGTTTGAGAAAGATTAGCTTGAATCAAAGAAGAGAACAGCTATAGGGTGATTAGAAAACAGAAGTATTCACTTTTTGCAAAGAGATAAAGGGTTTACATGGTCTGAAGGGTCTATAGGGGCTTTTTACAGAGACATTACTGGGGAAGGAAGGAAGACCTGTCTATGCGGAGGGACTGCAGTAGAAAAACATTGAGAGGTTTGAATTAGTTTTGGGCAAAGGTAGATTGTAAATTAGAATAACTTTTTAAGTATTTGAAGAGTAAAGATTCTGCAAGACTTTTCTCAATGGCAGATGTGAGGGCAGGAGCTTTAAATCTCTTAAAGGTGATGGGGCAGCGATGTTTGGCTACCAGGTGTGGTTTTGTTATCTAGAGGCTTGGAAGGAGATCAATTTGCTGTTTCTCTGCATCATATTTATGTTGTATTAATCTTCTATGTCAGTACAGTCACTGGCTGTCTGCAGAGATGAAAATTTGAATGTGAGGTAGCTATTTTGAGTTTAGCATAGAGAGCAAAACTGCATTTATCGGATATTTTTGCTCCCAGACATATGCGCTCCCAGTACCAACTTGGTATGAGTGGGCTTTTGGCAAAGTAAACTGATCAAAAAGTCTAGCTTATTTCACTTACAACTGAAAGAAATATTCCTTTAATCCAAAAACTGATAAAAAGATCAATGGTTTTGTTTCTAATTAATTGAGAAGATCAGCATTCTTTCAATAAATTTGGAAGAAAAGTCTTGCAGAACATACTTTTTCAGCTGGCTTTAAGTGTAAGGTCTTAATGGCAAAGCTAGTTTGGTTTTGTTTGGTTTGTACTTTTATTTATTAAGTAGTCAGGTAGGCCTTAAATGGCCTCTCATACTACACAGCTGAGACATCATCTCTCAAATGTGTTCGGAGCCTTACAGTGTTCATACTCCATGATGTCATGATCTCTTGCATACATAAGAACCAAAAATGCACCATCTGTGTTCAGGTGGGGAATGGGTAGTTTTAGTTTGGAAAACAAGATAGTATTCAATATGTTACTTAAAGGGAAAAGGAAATGTATTTTAGTAAAACTGTTATTACTGACTAAATTTAAATCTAGTTTATTTTCTTAGTAAAAACAGACATAGCAATTCAGAATATTACCTCCAGTTGGTTGGGCTCATTGTAGATTTTTATTAACTTTTCAACCTCTGGTGCACTATGATTAAACCCTAACAATGGTTTGCAGGGGGGAAAAACTCTGAGCATGTTTGAAAACATTAAAGATATTTCACACGCATGTTCTTCACATCTCATTTATGAAAGTTGCATGGATGGCTTCTGAAAACCTTTTTTATGGAAGAGGCCTTGTCACATTGATAGCTTGGTGACAAAGCCAGAATTACTAAGAGTCTGCTCTTTTAAGGTTAGAGGTGTATTTAATCTGCATAAAACCAAAAGACCCCCAGTTTTTAAACACTGAAACCTTCCAGCATTTGTTTCACTTCATTAACCATATTGTCTGTAAGTGAGGTTGGTCTTGATATCAAGAAATTACTTTTATCCCTTTCCTTTCCTTTTTATTTTTTTCCTTTCAATAAGAACTCCCTTTGATTAATACTTCTTTACATACAAAACTACAGCCCTCTTAATCTAGGCACAACTGCACTTCATAGTCCTTCAAAGTGAAGCTTAGGGATGATTTGATGTAACTACCAGTTCAGTGAATGCTGAATCCTTGGTGGTGTTGAACCTGTGCAGATGTTTCTAGCTGAGCACTGTAAGGCTAGAGTTTGGTTGGGATATTGCTTTAAATGCCTCTGCAGATATGCACCATGTAAAATTTTGCCATAAAATACAAGAGCCTGCTAGTGTTTTGACAGTCTATTGAGCCCAGCAGTTTCCTTTTGCACATGAACAGTATGTGCATGGCGAGCGGTGAGATAGAAAAAGCTAGAGTGGAATTATGAGTACCCTGACCCTGGAGACACTTCAAGGCTAATGGCATTCCTATGCAGCTTTCTCTTGCTTGCAGAGATGCCTCTGTTTCCTTTACTGATGCTGGTTCTTGGGCGAACTGAAATAGAGATACTGTAATGAATTACAGCAGGCACAAAACAGTGAAGTTCATTTATAAACAAAGGCAGATTCACTTTTAGTGGAAAATAAAAGAATTATTTTTGTTGTTGTTGCTTTTTAGTTGAATGGTTGTTTAATTTGCACTAGGGGGAAGTCACTTGAAGCTATTCTAGACTAAGTTCACCTGGATAGCTATTGTGTGTGATTTGTCTTCAAAGAGATGCACCCACCCCAAGACACAAGAAAAATATGTCCCAATGGCCCTCCTGTCTCTTGGGCAGACCAGTTGGCACAGGGCAGTGCTAAACAACACTTCTATATTGCTTCCAGGACAGTTCCTCCAGAAAGCCCAAACATTGCTCTTAGCAACGTGGAGCTGAACACAACCCCGAGGAACCCTGGATCAATATATTTGTTGGAAAAGCACGACACATAACTGTTTGTATGTTTTAAATTGCTGAGGTCTGTCAGGTAGGCCTTGTTTCTGCCTCGTTCAAAGATTGAATAAATCTAGGCCTCCTGTATTCCTAGCCCTGCACTACTCAAACAGGTCTCAGAGAAAGAGCGCTGAAGATTGCACACGTTGATGTTTATACTGGAGAAAATACGCCCTTCGGTGGAATAATTCCAGTTACTAGGTAATCCTGGCAGTTACCTGTGTAGAATCCTGTTAATTATCATCTTCACCCATTTGGCCTGGGGATCTAAACAGATTTGCTGTCTGTTCTTCAGTGTTGCTCTGCAGTGGAATGAACATTTCACTTTAGTTAATATTGGCACCTGCGGAGGTCAGAGGAGGACGCAGACAAGGCTGAGGATTATAAGCTTAAGGGCTGCCAACTCTTCAGCATCCATAAGCTCTAGCTTCTCTTGCCTGCTGACTTTACTTACATGATTTCCATAGTGTTGCAGTGTGGGCCCTTAGGGATGATTTCTACATTGGCCAGGTGCTTTAGCAACATTAACCCTGTGACGCTCTGGATGCAGTGACACCGCAGCTCCACTGCTAGCATCACATCTGTGAGGGAAGGAAAGGGAAGTTCGTAATGTTTGCAGCTGAACCAAACTAACAATGAAAAAATTAATTAGAGAAAGCAGAAGGGGTGAAAAGTTAATGTCTCAAGGTTTAAATGGATTGCTGTTCATAGGCTTAAGGCAGGACTTTTACTGGGAAAGAACATTTAAGATCTACAGACTTTGTACAGGTAACAATTTACACGTTCCTGTTACTACTGCAATTATTTTGGCATCCAGTACAATGAAAGGCTACTGAAAGTGTGGTGCTCCTATCTTAGGAGAGGAAGAAAAAGCTAGCAGAAGAGGCAGATGACTACTCTCCATTAATACAGCCTGGAGGTGAAACCTGTTTGGGCTAAAATTTGACTGGTACCTGTTGTGAAAAAGCCTCACATATATTCAGCTTAGAAGCTTAATCAAGATGCTAGGAAAGGTGTGGGGGCCTCTCAGGAAACAGCTCTGGGTAAGTGCTAGAAGCAAGAAACCCGACAAGCTTTTGGACAGAGTTTGATTCAATTTTGCCACACATTGTACAGCACCCATGTCTATGGACTGAATTTGCTGTTGCCTGACAGTTCTTCCAGAACCATGTTTCCCTAGTGATGGGAAAAAAAAAGTTATCCTAGCTTTATAGATTGAGCACAGAGCACCAGAGGGGTGACAGAAATTACCCAAAATCAAAAGTCATGAAGCTCAGGGCTTTCCCAGCTCCACTCACTGCAGACACTGGGATATCTTCCTGTTTTCAGGTCAGATATCACAGGTTAAGGTGTACAATCACAACACTCTCATTTATCCATTTTCCTACTAAGCTAAGCTGCAGCTTTGTGAAATTCCTGACAATTGATCTGTTGAATATAGTTCAAAGAGGAAATTCAGCCCTTGGAGGGCAGTGTCAACAAGAAGCAAAGACAAGCTCCAGATAAATGGATGTGGGGCACACGGATGCTCCTACTACTGAGATGAGTAGGGCTGCAGGAGCTGAAATCCCAGTCCTCTCTTACTGGGGATAGTCTTGACATCCATTAAGACCAAACAGCAAACCCCTTGACCTCACCCTGTGCTAGTTCTTGCACCTTGATATGATAATCCACTCGTTTCCCTTCTTCACTTATGATCTGCCCTGCTAAACCTGCTGCTGCTTCTTTTGACTGACCGATACCTCCCTGCCTACCTGACAGAAGGCAGAAACAAGTGCACTTCAAAGTCAGGCATTGGGAAGCACAGAACATCGGAGCAGAGCAGCCACATCCCATCTGCAGCCTCAAGAGAAGAAAACAAGGTTCCCAAAGGCTGTGCCAGGGCTTCACTGCAGGTGTGTGTAATGCTAAAGGCATCCTGTTAGCCAATTGTCCAGCCTGGAGGTTCGCCACATCCAGCTCTCTTATGGCTCAGGAGAGGTTGCAGATGCCTGTCATCCCAACATGAAGTGAGGACATAGTAGGAGCAAGCATCCCCATGGTGCTGAGGCTTGGAAGCATTCCAGAACCCTAAGCTTGGCATACTTTCTGCCCACAGAATACTTTCTGGACTTTCCCAGCAGAGTTTGGGGTTTTTTTTCCTCACATTTCTCAGGAAAGAGCTCTAACAAATGACTGTTGATTAGAAATAGATTGATTCAAAATAAGTTGAATATTCTGAGCTTTCATCTTAGAGCCTCTTATCATAAAAGCAGCATGAAAAGTGATAGCAATGCAATATGCCACACAGTTATTACAGGCTATCACTTCTCAGGCCCTTGTTGTAAGCTCATTTTTCTGCGAATATTAAAGAGACAAGTTCACCGATATCAGTGAATCTCCACTAGCAGAAGAATAATAGGACGCAAGAAATAGGCTCACTCTGATATTGAATATGTTTTTCTTGACCTGCTACCTCAAAGACCTTGTGTGTATGGAAGTTTGACACACCTTAAAAAAATTCTCTTTACCTAAACCACACTGCAGAAGAATTGTAATACAAAGGAAAATAAATTGAATTTTCTTACCAGGAAAGTTGCCCATAAAAGAGACAAGCAGGAGGAAGATTACAGTCTTGCTGCTATCCATGACTGCTCTCTGTGCCTTCTTATGGTGAACTGAAAACAAACTCCGTTGTGCCTTCAGACCCACATGGGACTGCTGACACTGTTACGCTCCACAATCTGCTTCTCACACACATGTACATACAGATGGAATTACTCTCGGTCCTGCCTTTGCCACAACCAGAACAAGTAGTGGGGAAGTCTGTGATAAAACAGCTTGTGCTAACACACCTGAAACGGAGCAGTAAGTTGGAGCCACTCTGCTTGCTGTGATTCCTTCTTGATTCCAAGAAAACAGTAAAATACTGAGAGAATAACATGCTGATTAAAGCAGTGTGAGAGGGATTAAACTCAGTGCTTGCTTAATTTTCTGTCAGTGCTGAAATACAAGACAGAATCAACTTTGTAATAGAACATTAGCAAAAATCTAGGTAATTTGGTGTAGGTATCTCTCCTGAGGAAAATTCTATACTAAAAAAATGCATCTGCCACACCACTGGTCACTGTCTCATGGCCTATGACCAGACATGCACACTGCTTTTGGTCCCTGTCCAGCCTTGCCTTGTGGGTTTGCAGGTGATTTTGGTATACCTAAAATATTGTATTCAGAAAGGATTCCTGCAACTGAGGCACTCAATTCTATCCAGTCAATGATGCAGAACTGTTTTGTGTTGTTATGCAAGTGGTAGCTTGGAAAATGAACAGATAATTGTGGTTTTGTGTGTGTATTTGTATATTGTGAAATTGGTCATTTCATGAAATGACTAAAATGTTGGTAATTTTAGAAAATGACTGAAAAAATAATTAAAAATGTTGACCAGTATCTTATGACAAGTATTTTGGATTATTAACTCAAAAGCACAAGAGAGAATGTTTTTTTCTAAAGTTCATGTTTAGAAAAGCATTTGCATTCAAAACCATTCAGTAAAGCTCGCCACTCTATGGTTTTAAGATTATTTTTACAACTGAGGTTATTTCTTAAACCAATGGAAAACTTTGGTGTTTCTGTGAAGTGAATAGTTCACAGTGGAAAAGTATCATTGGTTACTCCAAGGACCGAGATAAAAGACTTGCTCTATGTGTATCTGTATATAGGTCTTTCTGAGAAGTTGCTAATGTTTCCTGCAAAATAGCCCTTCAGCTTTGGTCCATATGTTAATTTGTATGGAGTTTGACTTCGGTCCTTTGCAAATAATGTGGCACATATTTTTGCATTCTCAGTAAGCGTCAACTGCAGGGCTGCTCTGCTATATCTGAACACTTCTGTGACATTGTAGTACTTGCATTTTTGTAACCTGTGCAGGAACCTGCACCTCCTGGTCAGGTATCCGCAGCCCAAAGGGCTTGCTACCACCACCTGAAAATTTACAATCTCAAGCTTGTCCTCAAAGGAAAACAACTAGGGTGTAAGGCACAGCATAAATTCTGGGACTGGCAAGGGACTTGTGCTCTGAGACCAGCAGAGACCAGTCCTCAATGAACAGGAAAAACCTCTGCAAAACCAACAATGTTGGCCTCTAGGCAGATAGTGACAAACAGCATCAATGGGACAGTCAGGAAGGTAGATGGTTTCAGGAAAATAACAGGGTCCACTGGAAATATGACTGCATTGGTCCTGTCTTGGAAAGAGGTACCCATTTGGGGAGGTTTAGTTTGGATATTAGGAAAAATTTCTTCACTGAAAGGGTTGTCAGGCATTGGAACAGGCTGCCCAGGGAGGGGGTAGAGACACCATCCTTGGAGGGATTTAAGAGATGTGTAGACATGGTGCTTAGGGACATGGTTTAGTGGTGGACTTGGCAGTGCTGGGTTTACAGTTGGACTCAATGATCTTAAAGGCCTTTACGAAGATAAATGATTCTGTGATTTCTGTGGTGGAGTTAGGGTGATCAAGAAAGAACTGGATGGTAGAGATAGGAGGGAGGGAAGGAGAGAGGGAAGTAGAAGTCAAGTGCAACTCTGGTTCTGCAACCCAACATGGTGAGACTAGAGGCGAGAGAGAAGAGGGCTGAGCTCATTTTGCATTGTACTTCCTTTTTGGCAACTTTCTGGTCTGCTTGGAGAAGTGGGAAATCCAGTAGAGTTGTTCATCGTCTGGATAAGCCTCATCAGAAACTGCCTAGAGCAGTTGGGCCTCATTGTGTGGTGTTGTAACAGGTGATACTGTTTTGCTGTGTGTCTGCAGGACATCATCTGTGTGGAAGAAATTAGTTGGCTAGCATAGGCCACAGATTCACAGATTCACAGAGCGGTAGGGGGTGGAAGGGACCTCTAGAGATCATCTGGTTGAACCCCCTGCCAGAGCAGGATCGCCTAGAGTACATCACACAGGAACAAGTCCAGGTGGCTTTGGAAAGTCTCCAGAGAAGGAGCCCCCACCACCTCTCGGGGCAGCCTGTTCAGGGCTCTGGCACGCTCCCAGGGAAGAAGGGTTTCCTCATGATCAGGTTGAACCTTCTGTTTTCCAGTTTATGGCCATTGCCCCGGGGCCTGTCACTGGGCACCACTGAGAAGAGCCTGGGCCCATCCTCCTGACACCCCCCCTTTAGATATTAATAAGTATTGATAAGATCCCCCCCTCACCCTCCTATTCTCCAAGCTGAACAGACCCAGCTCTCTCAGTCTTTCCTCATGTGGAAGGCGCTCCAGGCCCTTCATCATCTCAGTGGCCCTGTGCTGGACCCTCTCCAGCAGCTCCTTGTCCTTGAGCTGAGGAGCCCAGAACTGGACACAGCACTCCAGGTGAGGCCACAGAGCTTTGGTATCCAGATGTGTTGCGTATGCCTGGGTTGGAAAATGACCTCCTTGAATTCCTGAAGGGTGTTTTGAATCAGAATGACAGGAATGAAGACAGTCAGGGTCTTGTTTTTCTCTGTCAAGTATTACCTAGAATGGCATTTATTAGAGCTATTGCTATATAGCAGAGGATAGTGAAGATAGTCTTCCATTCCTTCAGATGCTTGTAACCCTAAGTTGTGTGATATCAAACAGGGTCCAGCGAGGGCACAGCTTTCTGTGCAGATCCTGACTGTGGCACAGTTACCCCACTGGGAGTCATTCAAGATTTTTTGAGGATTTTCTAAAAAGAAAACAACTCCATTTATCATTTGTGCCAGATAAGAAGAATGTTCACATGAGAATTTGGTGCTGCAGTTTTTGCTGAGAGCAAGGACATGCAGCTAGTCACCGGCATTCGGTGGGAGCTGCCTGCAGACCTCTCCGGTAGGAGCTGGCTAAATCTATCCTGCGGCCAAGGGATATGTGCATACGGTGCAGGTCTGCAGGCCAAGCTGTATGAAACAGAACTCCCACGGAGAGAAAAAAAAGCAATGTTGCTCTTTTTCTCTCTAATCAAAAGGGAAATACAGTCTAAAAGAGGGCAAAAGGTTGAAAAATGCAAAGAGGAAACAGTCTATTCGCATAAATTTTGAGAAGGAAAATGTTCTTGGGGTAAGACAGTAAATACTCCACCTCACTTAGCAATGTGGACCATGGAGGAAAACTGAATTTTTGTCTGACAAATAGTCTCACAGTCATTTGGAAGCCCCTGGTTTTCCTTACAGCCAGATTTTACCTGACTGAACCAGTCACACAGTAACAGTCATTTAGGTGTCCTCAGCTTCTGGGTAGTTCACATTATCACCCAGTGGAATAGCCAGCTGGGTACAGAATACCTATCATTTGAGTCACTTTGTGATTTCATAATATGCAGCTGATCTGAGTAGATGTGCGTATGCGTGTATGTATAGTCGTCATATTGTAAAATCCTCCCTTTGATAGACATTTGTTTAATTATATACATATATGTAAATAACCCCCCTCCCATTCTCCATTGCTTTTTAGCATGTCCAGCTTACAGTGTCCCCTAATTTCTCCTCTCTTTAATGTTTGCAAAGTTGCATCATTGGATTCAAAGTTTTTCCCAGATGTAGGACATCTTTTTAATCCTTTACAACTCTGGATTTCTGCACTCATGTGTTGGATAAGTCAGGTAAAATAAATTCTTTTTCCTTCAAAGGTTTTTAATACAGTAAGATTTTTTCCCTTCAAGAAAAACAGTAGGAAGATGGTATCACTAAAAAAAAGGATATAATAATTTCTCCTTTTCTGAGACAGGTAACACTTTCTCCTAACCACAGCAGCCTAAATAC